GCTTTCTCTTCCACATCATAGTTCATCACTGAAGGCCGTGAGAACAGGAACTCAAAAGGGAGTGGGAGGAGAACCTGGAGGCAGGAGCTGATGAAGAGGCCATGGAGGGGTGCTACTTACTGGCTTGCTCCCCATAGCTTTCTTAGCCTGCTTTCCAAGACCACCAGCCCAGGGGTGACACCACCTACAATGGGCTGGACCCTCCTACATCAATCACTAATTAAGAAAACGCCCTGCAGGCTTGCCTGCAGCGCCACCCTATGAAGGCATTTTCTCCTCTGAGGTTCCCTTATCTCAGACGACTCTCCAGCTTATGTGTAGTTAATATGCCTGGAAGCCTTGTGTACCTGCAGTGATCACATCCCAAGACCGCATTATAGATGGTTGGTGTGTCATGAATGCCCCCATTTTTACTTCCACACCGCTTGTTTTGTGTGAGTACTTCCTCAAAGCCCATAATATTCAGTCCCTTTGTTGCTGGATATTCAATCACACTGTGAACCCCTAGTTTGCATCTGTGTTAATTAAGTAAAATCAACCTTGGATTGGGAGGCGGAGCCAGCAACTAGTAGACAAAAAGAAATCATAGAGAGTCTGGAATGAGGATAGAGACACACAGGGAAAAGTAGGAGGGACTTTGAGTGCGTGTGGGGCATCTTTTTTATTTGGCTCTCTTTCTGAGACACCCATGAAAAGGAAAAGTTAGCTAGCTGCTCCTCAACCTCCCTGGGCTCGAAGGTTTTCACCCTAGCCTCTAACTCCTGAGTCTAGACTGATAAAGATTTATTTAAAGGTACATTTTGTGGCAGTGGCAGGAGGAAGATCTGATGGGATGTAAAGGCCCTATCAGACTGCTGCCTGAGAAGCTGACCAGTAACTGCAGAGTCACAATTACAATCACTGGCTGGAACAGCAGTAAATTCGGGCGGGGGGGAGATCTCTTTATAAAAGTCCCAGGAATTCTCATTTTCCCCTTGTATAAATTGTTTATCAGTTGCTAGAAACGAACATATTTTAGTGTAGACCAGTATTTAAAGTGTTTTTATGTGTCACTGAAATTGAGGAGTAAAACATATAGGTCCAAAGAAAAAAACTATTAAAATGACAAAATTCTATTCTTATGTTTTAAAAAAATCATTTCCACAAAGCAAGTGAACTTTGCCTATGGCTCTTTATTAAGAAACAGAAACCCTCAGGGTAGTGGTGGCCCATGCCTTTAATCCCCCAACACTCAGGAGGCAGGCAGATCTCTGAGAGTCCCAGGCCAGCCTGGTCTACAGAACAATTTCCAAGACAGGACATCCAGGGCTACACAGAGAAACCCAGTCTCTAAAAATAAAGAAAAAAGAAAGAAAAAAGAAAGAAAGAAAGAAAGAAAGAAAGAGAGAGAGGGGGAGGCGTAGGGAGGGAGGGAGGGAGGGAGGGAGGAAGGAAGGAAGGAAGGAAGGAAGGAAGGAAGGAAGGAAGGAAGGAAGGAAGGAAGAAGAAAAAGAAACAGAAAACCTGGAAATTTCAAATATACTGATGAGAACTGGCATACATTTTTACATTCTAGGTAACCAAGTCATTTTAATAAATAAAGATTTGGGGCAGGTAAATAACTTACATCAACTATGAAACTTTCAATAGGAGGCTATTTAGTAAGTTGGTGTTATGATTTTTCCCCATCTTAAGTATTAATAAGGCTTATTTCATGATAAGTATGTATGCATACATGAAAAATGTATGCAAAATGGAAATGATAGAAGCATAGGTATAGATACATATTGAGATATTGCCTTTTAGAATGTCTTTGTGAAGAGTGGACATCTTTGAAATGGGTGTTAATTCTGTATTGTGGATGTGTGGAGACAGAAAGCTATAGCAGAAATGACCTCAGTCCAGCCTGCTGAACTGTCACGGTTGGGAGACACAGGGAGCACTCCACTAAATTAAGTGGAAATGACATTATTGGAAGGAATTTGATAATTAATGAAAAGGAAATTAGGAGAGAACCTGGTCCAAAAGGAAAGGCCGAGTCAGAGGACCCTTAAACAGACAGTGGTTAGCAAGAACAGCCAACAGTCTTTCTGAGAAGCCACTGCAGCATTGACTGAGCCCCAATCCCGCGTACACCCTAAGTTTCTCAGAAAATATCTATGGGTCACTAGTTTGCTAAAAAGATTTTAGCTCAATGGGACTAGTTATTTCCCATGTACTTTAAAATGCTGTAGGCTGTGGTGGGGAGCTCACTGCAGGCTTGGGGAGGTTACTGCAGGCTGTGGAGGGGTGTTCACACCTGGCCTGGCCTGGCCTTAGATGAGCTGTCTCCCCAATGTGCCACCTACTGTTTAAAGCCAGCATTTCACTTTTCTTTATTTTTGACCTAGGAGGTCTTCACTCACGTGGTGAGATGCCACATAGAGGTGGCATTTTGAGAAAGGCTGGAGTTCCAGCCTCCAGACTCCAGACTCCAGACTCCAGACTCTCAGGCCTCCCCAGTACTGCCTTCTAGATCACAATCACAAGTGCCCTCAGCTTCCCCAAACTCCAGTCAATCATTTTAAAGTCTCTTCAGCCATTTATTTTCTCTCTTCAGAAAATGACCCATCATCACCCTAAATACCAGTTGTCACCCTGTCTCCTCCTTCACTGTTACACCCAGTCACCAAGCCACCCAAATTTTACCAAAGTGTATTTTGGAGCCAACAGCTTCTACTGACCAACCCACCACCTCTGCCTGGTTCCAGCCCCACAGCCTTTCTCGCTCATGACCAGCAGTCTTCCTTCTACCTCTCCTCACTGCTACCAGACTTACCTTCCTCCATCCTTTCTCTTGGATCAGGTGTAATGTTCAGAGTCACAAACTCAAGATGGTTAAATTGAAAGTCTTTATTTTTTTTATAACCTCATTTTAATTCCTGGCCCTGGGCCTTAATCCTCTCTAGTGTCAAAGTCTAATCTTGTCACTCAGATGAAGCCAGACCAGTGCAGTGATCTTTCAGATTGCTCAAAAGTCAAAAGCCACTTCCCTTCACTCAATGTCCCTGTAATGGAAAGAACATTGCACTATGGGGCTCAAAAGAGAATGGAATTACTGGATCCAGCAAACAAAAGTATTTTATTTTCATAAAGTCAGACACTTCTCTTTTAGTCTAAGAATATCTGATGTAATATCTAGCATGTAAATGGGGATTTGCTATTTTCAGGAATGCTTCTCTTTTCCCCACACATAAGCCCCAAAAAAAAAACAAAACCCGCCCCCCCCCCCCCCCCCCCCCCCCCCCCCCGTCTCCTCCCTGCTCTTCTTAAAAGTAGCAGATGTCTGGGTTTGTAGCAGCCTGATAGTGCTGAAACAACAAGAGAATCCCAGAAAAGTCAGCCTTGATGCCACCAGGCCACTCACCCAGACCTGGCTCCACCTCAGGACTTCCAATTCTGAGAGACCAGACAGATCCCACTATCACTCAAATCTGTATGCAAGTAGGTCAATAGCTCTAAACATGTCTAAAAATGCTTTCTTTTAAAGAAAGAACATAAAGTAATTGACATAAAACTACTTTTCAGCAACTAATTATTCTTTTGCTTTAACAGTGACTAATACATAGCTATTCTACAAAAGCACCTGGATATCCCCCATCTCTGTTTCTCTCCCTTTTCCTTTGAGACAGGGTCTCTCTACACAGCTCTGGCTGGCCTGGCCTCACATGTATTTCTTAAACACTTTTAGTCATTGTTTATTTTTATGTACCCACTTAGTTGTTGTCTGTGTCCTCTCTCAAGTGCACTGAATCTGTTTGGTCTAGAACATTCTGTTCAGGGAGGAGCAGGAACTGTGGCGATTGCTCAGTTCTTGGGCTCAGTCGTTAGATCATTGGCATGTAATCATGAAGACTGAAGTTCAGACCCTGGAACCCACCTGCATGCCACGTGAGAGTATCAGCCTGCCTTTAACTCTGGCTCAGAGTCTCCGGAGCAAACTGGCTGAGTCTGTGGCTCTGGGCTTGATTTAGACCTGCTGCCTCAAAGAAGAAGGCTCAAAAAATAATTATGGGTGACTCCTGACATCAACCTCAGGCACACACATGCATTTGTGCCTACACACACACACACACACACACACACACACACACACACGTGCCCACACATGCAAAAAGCATGCACATGTGTATCACACACACACACACACACACACACACACACACACACACACAAGAAAATGGAAAAGAAGGAAGTGAAGGAAGTGGTTGATCATAAGAAACGCAGTCAGGATCTGCTGAATAAATAAATGAGAGTCACCTGCCTCTCTCCCCTGCTTCTGAACCATGAAGTCTCATGGGGAGGGCTTGAGAAAGGCTTGTACTCTGTAGCCCAGGCTGAACTCAAATGAAGAGTCCTCCTCCTTCAGCTTCCCACATGAAGAACTGGGAAGTGAATTTCTATTTATTTATTTATCTATTGTTAATTGAATTAGCAAACCATTCATTTGATCTTACTTAGAAATGATTATGTATATTATATATTTAGTATTTTTCAGTAATTTTTAAAACATTAAATTTAGAAGCATGATTGACAGAAGTTGGTCAAATTCCAATGGTAGATCATGAAACTACCTAATAGAGAAATTAAGTTTTTTTAAAATTCAGTAACAATTTTATTTTTGCCTGGTTTATTGGTTGCCTGACTTGGCTGGTTGGTTTGTTTGCTCTTCTGATTGGTTGGTTGGTTTTGAGCAGGGGTGGTATAGAGCTAGGGTGGTGTGTGGAGAACTTTTGAATAGTCAAGTAGCTTATTTATCCTTTTCAAAGAGACCTCAGCTCTGGAACTGACACATTAATAATGTGATTGTATTAACATAACTATGCTAGGTAAGTGCCAGGATCCTTCATTAAACTGAAGTTGCTTGATTTGCCACAAAGATCTCTTGACATGTAAGAAAGCCTGCTTTGAGTGCTGGTTTTCAGAGGATGGAAACACCCCTCTGAGGTCTAAAGCACCCGCCCATACTCTAATGTCCCCAGCCACAGGAACTCGTACAAGAAGAGCATCTGTGTGGACATGCTTCGCAATGGCTACCACAAGTCCTTCACCGAGCTCTTCACGCTGGCGGAGCAGTGGGACGCGCTGCGGCATGCTGCAGAGGTGCGGTCCCTCTTCTGGCGGCAGAGGCCGCTGGAGGAACAGCCAGACAAGCTGGACAATTTCTACCACTACCTGACCAGGGCCGAGGCTGCTGAGAGGAAAAGTAGGTGCTAGGTTCTCCCTATGAGATTATGGGGCCAATTATATTCAAACTACCTCATTTTACTCCCTGATCCCTATAGGCTTGTAATAATATCATAATGCAAAATGTATTTAATCCAATTTCAAAAGTCTCTGTAGTCTATCACAGTCTCAACAATGTTTAAAAGTTCAAAGTCTCTTCTGAGATTCATAAATCTCTTAACTGTAATGCCCTATAAAATCAAAATAAAAAACAGATCACATAATTCCAACATAAATATACACAGGATATATACATTACCAAAAAGTAGGGAAGGGAGTATAATGATTAAATACTGGACCAAAGCAAAATCAAAACACAGCCAGATGAATTCTAAACTAAATCTCATGCCTGGTGTCAAAATGCTCCCTTCATCAACTTGTTGACTGCAACACACTTCTTTCTCTTGGGCTGGTTGCACTCCCTGTTAGCAGCTCTCCTCTGCAAGTATCCCATGGCTCTGGCATCTCTAACATCTTGGGTTCTCCAAGGAAATCCAGGCTTCACCTTCACAGTTTCACACAATGGCCTCTCAACTAGACCTCCATTCAGGGACACCCCTGACAACATGTCTGACTTCAGTGGCTTTATTCCATAACCCCCTTCTTCTATACTTAACTCTAAAGCCAGAACCACGTGGCTAAAGCTGCCAAGTTCTGCTGCTTCCTGGGGATGGAACATGGCCCCCTCCTTCAATTACATCTTCACCAGCTTTCTCTCCTTAGCTGCCTAAGCTTGGCTGTCCTGAAATTTTCTCTGTAGACCAAACTGGCCTCAAACTCAGAGATCTGCCACCTTCTGCTTTCCCAGTGCTGGGATTAAAGGTGTGACCTACCACACAAGGCTTTAAGCTTTTCTTTAATTCCTTTTCAAATTGGACAGTTAGGAACAGGTGGGATCTTGCCCTAAGGTCACCATTCCTTTTATTCCATTTCTTAATCTGTTTATCTCCTTGAACACAGAATTTAGCTGCATTCTATTTCCTGGTGTTCTTTTTCTCCTCAAAATTTTCATTTTCTAATTTACCCTGCTCAGCTTGCTTCTTTTCATCATAAATCTTCATTAGAGTTACCACTATTATCTTCATGACAGAGTCTATACTAGGCTGTCCTGAGGTTTTTTCCTGCTAATTGAATTAACCCAAAATTCTTCACTTTAGCCTCAGGCAGTCTCTTTGGACAAGGGGAAAGGCAGTCACTTTCTCACCAAAATATCACAAAAGTGATTTCTAGGCAACATACTAAAAATTTCTCTTCTGGAACCTCTTGGGTAAGGCCCCTGTAGTTCAAATAACTCTTAGCACCACTGTCTTCCATGCTCCTACTAGTGTGGCCCATTCAGCAGTGCTTAAAGCATTCCACTGCTTTCCTAAGCCAAAGTACCAAACCCCAAATTGCTCCATACAAAAATATGGTCAGGCCTATCACAGCCAATACTCCAGTCCCTGGAACCAATTTCTGTCTTAGGATTTCTCTTGCTGTGAAGAGACATCATGACCATAGCAACTCATATAAGGAAAACATTTAATTAAGGGGCCTCACTTACAATTTTGGAGATTCAGTCCATTATCACAATTGTGGAGGCCATGGCCGCATGCAAGCAGACATGGTGCTAGAGAAATAGCTGAGAGTGCTACATCTTGATGAAAACAGGAAGTCACCTGAGCAGTATCTTGACTTTAAGAATCCTCAAAGTCCACCCCCAAGTGACACACTTACTCCAAAAAGGCCATACCTATCCCAACAAAGCCACACCTCCTAAGAGTGTCACTCCCTGTGAGCTTATGGGGGCCAATTGCATTCAAACTACCTCATGTGCCCACACACATGTACCTGACACTGAAAGAGTGAAGTGACTTATTTACAGTTCTCGACAGCTACCTTTCACATATTCAGCCTGCTTCTTCCAGGCTTTTGTATTTGGTCTCATACACTATATAATGGCCAAGACTGTCCACAATGGTGGTCATGATGGGAGGTGACCCTACTGGTGGTGATGAGCAACTGGTCTCGGTGCATCAGTGCACAGTGACTGTGGTTTAAACTTAGCCAAGGAAGCAGGGACTCACACCTGTAATGGGCAGGAAGATGATCACATTTTAGGCTGGTGTGGGCCATTAGAGTTACAGGACCAAGACATAGTTTGTTACCACGCAAACATCTTTGCTCAAGTTCACTATTGCAGCAGCATTCATGAAACACATTATACACACACACACACACACACACACACAGAGAGAGAGAGAGAGAGAGAGAGAGAGAGAGAGAGAGAGAGAGAGACTTATAAATAAGATGCATGTAATAAATTACCAGACATTTGGGTAAAAGGAATGGCAAGTATGTACACATTTTTGATTAAAAACAAAAATAACGCTGGGCGTTGGTGGCCTTTAATCGCAGCACTTGGGAGGCAGAGGCAGGCGGATCTCTGTGAATTCGAGGCCAGCCTGGTCTCCAGAGCGAGTGCCAGGATAGGCTGCAAAGCTACACAGAGAAACCCTGTCTCGAAAAACCAAAAATAAAAAAAAAAATAAAAAAGCAAAGATATCCCCAAACAGAAAGCATAGAAGTCTACCTTTTATCACCACTGCACACTTACATTTCTAGAAACATTGGTAGAAAATGGAAGAAGCATGTATATCATCCTGACCTAAGTCTCTTGTATAAATCAGTCACATTATCCACTTTTGGGGTAAGAATACCTTGAGGCTTCCATTTCCTTTTTGCATTTGCTTTTATTTTTCCATGGTTTAGAAACATTGATTTCACCAGGCTTAGTGATGCATACCTTTAGACCCATCACTGGGATATAGAATAGTTCCTCCCCTCCCCTCCCCCCATTTATATATAGGAGACCACTGACACCACTGTCATCTTCCAAGAGGAACACATTCCTGACAGATACTTTCCAGTTCTATTTCAATCAAATAGGCCTCAATTTCTAGTGTGTCTGCATTTTTGGAAAGTTGCCTGTTGCTTGTTCATGTGCACATCCTTTGATTAATGTGATTACTTCAATAGTTAAAATAAATGGTGCTTTGCATTAGATTTAATTTTCAAGTCAGTTGACAATGCATTTAAAAATATAGAAGTGATTTGCAATATTGTGTGTGTCCTAAGCTGTGTTTCTGATGCACAGTATGGTTTTTCCTCTTTATAAAGGATACTATGAAGAAGTGTATAACAACTTGTATGCTCTGGCATGTTACTTCGACAATTCTGAAGACAAGTGGGTGAGGAATCACTTCTATGAACGGTGTTTTAATATTGCTAAGCTGATCAAAGCTGACGGTGGGAAGAAAGAAGCAGAGGCACAGGCACACATGGGCCTTCTGTTCGAGGAAGAGGGTGAGTGGCTACTCTCTGGGAATGCTTGGGGAATCCTGAGACCAAAAGTTAAGAAAAGAACCTGAATGTAAGGAGGCTAATTATTGCAGTCAAAAAGCAAAAGCGAGTGGCTAAACGAGTCAGCCTCAGGGTTCTTTGAAGAACATTCCTTGCAGGGTTCTTGGGTGTCCCTGCAGGAGCAATCAGCTTGGAGCAGTCAGGATATCTTCCTGAATCATTCCCACATCTTTTCTGCATCCTCTATCACCTTCCTCAACCCTTTCTGTGTTTATGGTGTTTGTTTTGTTTCCACGGCACCCCTTTGTCTATTTTGTAATAGAATTTTCACTTACAGAACTGTTTGGAAAAGCGAAAAGTCCCTTTGTGAATTTCCTAGTGCTCCTCCTCCTCCTCCTCAGATCAAAGTATAAAAGCTGTATAAACCAGATTCTATTTGTGATCTTACAATAATTGCTGAAGGAAATGCTTCTTTAAAGAAAAATGTCACATTTAATGTTATGATAAGACAACCCAAAATCAAAAACAAATAAAAAATGTTCAGGAAGCTGTTAAATGATGACTGATCAAGAGTTCCACACAGAAAGTTAAGAAATGTGCCAAAGAGTGTATGCAGATAATATGCAAAAAGTATGTAGAGGAAGATGAAAATATTTTATGAACCTGCTATTTCAAATCTAAGGTTCTTTGGGGAGATGGTCAGATTGATTATGTATATGTAATATATAATTTTGTGACTAGGATGATGCAGGACTTTAAAACAAAATTAAATTAAAATTAGTTTCTGTGCTCTGGGAGCTACAGCTCAGCTGGGTTGTGCCTTAATCCATGGCACACACTGCAAAGTGATCAGGGACCATGTGATGTAAACACAGGGATGCTAGGAAATGTCAGCTGTGGTGAGGGAGCCTGCACACTGGACTCAACGCATGTTGAAGTTGAGGGGTATTGATAGGGCTTGGAGATTGCTGGGATTTGGACAGGTAGAAATAATAGTGCTGTGCTCTGAACGAGGAAACACAGCTGCAGGAGAACAGGAAGAATACCCTGCTTTGAGTGGAAATCACAGTGGAAAGGAGAAACAGAAATGGAAGCATTTGTAGTTTGAAGTTGAGAGCCTCTGTATATTTGGACAAGGAAAGGCATGACTTTTAAGTGGAACTGAGATGCTAACTATGGGAGGAAGGGGAAAAGGAAGAGGGTGTGGCTAAAAAAGCTGCCACTGTGATGTAACTCAGAAGAAGCAGTTAAGAGATATATAAGAGGATGAATTATACCATTCCTTTACAATTATAGTTTACAATATCTCAAAATAGAGGGTTAGTTAAATAAGCAACTCTGTGCCACAGAATACCACGCTGTTGTGAGCTTACAACTGAGCAAAATTCATTCAGTATTCAATGCTCCGTTGCATTTATCAAATACTGGTTTAGACCCTAGTGCCCAGGGCAACACAGTGAACAAGACCAACAAGATCATCCAACCATCCTAATGGTTGGATCTCCAGCCCTTCACCTTACCAAATAGACATTCTGTGCTCATTCTCCCTCCTCCTGAGTAATAGAATCTCTGAGCAAGTTTTGATGACCATATTTATGCATCACTGATGTAATGGTTTCATCTGGTCATTCGTTCATTCATGCCACAACTCTTGGGAGTGTCCCTTAACCTTATATGAAGTAGCATTGTCATTGGTCATCTCATTTGATAACAGACACAGGGGCTGGGCCAAGATGAGTGTGGAAAGTGTGATCCCAGTGGACTGTTGCAAGGTAGTACTTTCAGGACTTTGGATTGTTCACACTTAGATGTCCAACCCTTATATCACGGTAAAAATGCACGGTAAGAAAAAAAAGTTAATATTTGTCTTTGAAATATCACAAAGACTCTGTTTTGGGTGTTATGTTAAAGTGAGAGTCTGTTGGTTAACTTTAGAACTGCCTTATGAAGCTGAGTATTATTCTTCCGAGGTCTGTGAAGAATTGGGCTGGGATTTTGATAGGGATTGCATTGAATCTGTAGATTGCTGTTGGTAAGATTGCCATTTTTACTATGTTAAGCCTACTTATCCAAGAGCATTGGAGATCTTTCCATTTATTGATACTCTCTTTGAATTTCATTCTTCAAAGACTTAAAGTTCTTGTTATACAGGTTTTTTTTTTTTTTTTTTACTTGTTTGGTTAGAGTTACCCCAAGATATTTTATCTTGTTTGTGGCCATTGTGAAGGGTGATATTTCTCTGATTTCTTTCTCAGCCCATTTATCATCTGTATATAGGAGGGCTACTGAGTTAATCTTGTATTCTGCCACATTACTAAGGTTGTTTATCTGTTGTAGGAGTTCCCTGGTAAAATTTTTGGGGTCACTTATATAAACTAACATATTACCTGCAAATAGTGAAAGTTTGACTTCTCAAATTCAAGTCCAAATGAATCAAAGACCTCAACATAAATCCAACCACACTGAATCTCATAGAAGAGCAAGCGGGATATAGCCTTAAACACATTGGCACAGGAGACTACTTCCTAAATAAAACACCCGTAGTACAGACACTGATAGGAAATGGGACCTCCTGAAACTGAGAAACTTCTGTAAAGCAAAGAACACAGTCAACAAGACAAAAACGGCTCCCTACAGAATGGGAAAAGATCTTTACTAACCCCATATCTGACAGAGGACTGATCTCCAGAATATACAAAGAACTCAAGAAACTATATATTAAAACGCCAAAGAATACAACTTAAAAATTGGGTGCAGAGCTAAGCAGAGAATTCTCAACAGAATAAACTCAAATGGCTGAAAGACATTTAAGGAATCACTCAACATACTCAGTCATCAGAGAAATACAAATCAAAACAACTCTGAGATACCATCTCACATCTGTCAGAATGGCTAAGATCAAAAATACTGATGGCAGCTTATGCTGGAGAGAATGTGGAGTAAGGGGAACACTCCCCCCATTGCTAGTGGGAGTGCAAACTTGTACAGACATTTTGGAAATCATTATGGAAGTTTCTCAGAAAACTGGGAATCATTCTACCTCAAGACCCAGCAATATCACTTTTGGACATATACCCAAAGGATGCACACTCATACCACAAAGACATCTGTTCAACTATGTTCAGAGCAGCATTATTCATAATAGCCAGAACCTGGAAGCAACCTAGATGCCCCTCAACCAAAGAATGGATTAAAAACATGTGGTGCATTTATACAATGGAATACTACTCAGTGGTAAAAAGCAATGACATCTTGAAATTTGCCAACAAATGAATGGAAATAGAGAAAAAAAACATCCTGGGAAAAGTAACCCAAAAAGACAAATATGATGTGTACTCACTCATAAATGGATATTAGGCATAAAGCAAAGGACAATCAGCCCCCAGAGAAGCTAGGTAACAAAGAGAGTCCTAAGAGAGACATACACAGATCCTCCTAGGAAATGGAGATAGACAAGTTCTCCTGAATAAATTGGGAGTGTGGGAGGGATGGTGGAAGGGGAGAGAGGAGAAGAGAAAGAGAGTGAGGAGAGCATGAGGGAATGGGATGACGAGTTAGGGGAAAGACAGAGAGGAAGAGCAGGGAAAGAAATATCTTGATAGAGGGAGCCATTATAGGGTTAGGAAGAAACCTGGCACTAAGGAAATACCCAGGAATACAAAAGGATAACCTGAGCTAAAACTCTAAGTAATAGTGTAGAGGGTGGCTGAATCCCCTGTAATCAGATTGAGGACTACCTTAATTGTCATCATAGAACCTTCATCCAGTAACTGATGGAAGCAGATACAGAGATCCACAACTAACCAGTAGACAGAGCTCCCAGAGGCTTGTAGGAGAGAGGGAGGAGTGATAATATGAGCAAAAGGGTCAAGACCATGATGGTGAAACCCACAGAGACAGCTGACCAGAGCTAGTGGGAGCTCACTGACTCCGGACTGACAGCTGTGGAACCTGCATAGTTCCAATACAGGTGACAGTAGATGGCTTGGGCAGTTTGTGGGACCACTGGCAGTGGGACCAGGTTCTAGCCCTGTGCATGAACTGGCTTTTTGGAGCCCATTTCCTATGGAGAGATACCTTGCTCTGCCTAGACACAGGAAGGAGGGCCTTGGTCCTGCCTTACCATGGTGATGGAACAGACTTCATTGACTCCCTATGGTAGGCTTTACCCTCTCTGAAGAGCAGATGGGGGTGGGGTAAAGATGGGAGGTGAGAGAGGAAGGAAGAGGGGGAACTGGAATTGGTATGTAAAATTTTTTAAAAGGTGTATAAAAAACAAAAAGAACTGCCTCTTGTCGAATGTGAAATTATGCAATCTGTGTCCTTCAACAGCACTTGAACTCTACAGCCACATTTGTATTGTGTGTGAGCAAACAGCCAGGCCAGTGTTGGTAGAGTCTAGAGATTGAGCACTTGGTGACAAGAACTGGCTGTGCAGATCCTGCAGCCCGGGATAGTATTTTCACAAGACAAGTAAACTCATAGGGTATCAATACATGCAGCTAGAATGGAGGGTGTTCACCTGGCAGTAGGGTTCCTGCTGAGGCCATGGTGCTGTCCTTTCCACTCATCTGACCTGATTGGTCCAGACAGGCAAATGGAGGCCCCACAGCAACATCTAGGCAACAGCTGTGCTCGGAGCAGGTGGCAGCCTCTTGATTCCATGGGTACCCCTATTCAGGTTTAAAGAGGGTGTTAGCCAGCAGATGGCAATGGGCAGGTTTTCAGGACCAACCAAGCAGGCTATGGTTCAGGGCAGGGCTCCAGCTCCCTCAGGGAACTGGAGAGCAAATGAGGACCAAAAGAAGTTGCCATTGTCAGAGACTGGACACATGACTGCAGTTAGGGCTAATGTGCAGCCTATAAGCACAAATGTGACCAGTTCTCATCCAGAGCCCCTTGGCCAAGTCAAGTACAACAGAGACTCAAGCCTCCACTGCTACTAAGATGGCTGGAGTATATACAATGAGCCCTGGCTCCCACTGGCCCAAGGGCAGGCAGGC